ACTACGAAACCTGTTACACTCACTAAGTTTATATGCATTACTAGACATCATGGAGTCTTCTCGATATCCACCTCTCTGAGGCTTATTCGTCATCAATGAGTGCGTTTTACCCTCAGACTGCTCTATTCTAGGGGTGAGATTTAATAGACTGGCAAACTTGCTCATAGATTGATTGACGCTATCTTTTACCAGTTTCAGGATATCATCAAACTTTGGCTCGATACCCTCATCCTCCATACGGGAGCTCATCTTCACCCACTTTTTTTGCAGTCGAGTAGGTAGACGTCTTGCTATTACTTCTAGTATAAAACTCGAGTTGAGGTCACTCATGCGATTCATCGAAATCATTCCATTCTTGTAAATTAGCAAATTATCTAAAAACTCAGTGAGTGCCTGGGAGTCATCCTGTAATTGACCACCATTACCCTTAACAGCCTCGAATAATTTCCCTGCAATCATCGAAGGTCTTCCAAACCTTTGACGTAATATGCTCATAGCCTCATCGTAGCCCTCTTTTGGCTTCATAAACTTACAACACTGTATAGCTCTTGCAGCATCTCCAGTGCAATATCTCATCAAATACATTAACTTCAATTCATCACTTGATAGAAAACTACTCAACATGATCTCAAACTCCTTTACAAATTGTAAATAATCAGCCGGGTTTCCATCGAAACACCGTGGTTCAAATTTAGGGAGTTTGATGTTCCTATTATCCCTGAACGGCGAAACAGTAACATCAACCATGTCATGCTTAACATCAGACACATCGTTACAATTAACAGACAAGTCACCATGACTTACTTTCCTGTTTGCATCCAAGACACTCTGTCCCTTCTTTGACCCAGGCATTGTTGAACTTGACCCAATTCCAAAAAGTTCCAGATATTGCTTGTTCAAAGAGGACTTGACCGGCACCAGGAAAGATGAACGGTGACTATCCAAACTTTCACCAACTGTCTGAATCCGCCAGATCTGTTTCTATCGTCAGAAACTGTCAATCACGTCTCATAAACCGTTAATGCCCAGCTCTCGCTACGCTCGGGCCCACGCTGTCCCTTGAAGATTTCAGAAACGCTTAGTTATAACGGACGAAAAAACCAAAACACCGATCTGCCGCTTGATATTTCTTTATTGTTACACCAACATATAAAAAGAATAAGTGAACTAAGGTCTGAAAACAAATATTACAATAATAAATCATTGTATTACTTCTGACGATGTTTCACTCTTCTTTCTGAACAGCGACCGATGAGACGATGACTGTCGTATTGATGCCTCCGCGAAAATTGGGGAAGTTGATTTTGAGCAAACAACCATGAATTGATCGTTCAGTCTTCAACTCCATTGACAAATATATTCTTGTAGCATGATTCGATGGCACAATTACTGGCAGTTAATAATATTATGTATGCGTGATGTTCATGGTATTTTCTGCACCATTAACATGCTCCACATTTCTAAAGGAGTTTAAATTAGGAAGACTGAACTTAACTTATACTTAACCCAAATGTGGTCATGCATGTTAATTATGTAAATGCATAATTTACGTAAGTGAATTTAGTCTGTATCACTTTTTGGAATGATGGGTCGCAATGAGGTCTGTCAGTTAATTAAATTTAGTGAAGGCAGATGTAGCTGCATTCGAACAAAGGCATTCGAAAAACAGTGATGAGCGTTTTACGACTTATAATCGGATGCATTTGCATAATCAGTTTTAGAAATTGATTCTGCATACAACAACAAGTGGAGGTAAGTTCACTCATTCATGTATAACCATGCAGATATTCTTTTTTACATTTTGTGATACCGAATAGATTTGGATGTGGACATAGAGTTCTGTTTACTTGAATTTTGAAGAATTCAAACGTGACTCAATTCGGACACTGGGCAGTTTCCGTCAAATAATGGGAGATACTTTCCAAACGAAGACTTTCATCTTTGACTGTGCTTAGATAATACACGTAAATAAACTTGTTTGCGTTGCAGTTAAATAAAATTTTCTATCTAATATTCTTGTGTTCTATTTGTTCTGCATGCGGTGGGATTACGGCATGCCAGACCGGTACTATTTAGGATATGAACTCGTTACTGTATATAAGTGTAATTCTGTAGCAACACTATCGATCGGTATAAGTAATAAATTATAAGTACTTTAGTCAGGCCTAAACATCTGCCTAAAGGTACGCGATTACGTCTCCTAGTCATAGGTAAGTCTGTAGGGACCAAGTACAAAAATACTTCAGTATTTGAAAAATAAGCCATGAACTTAGGCACTGTAATTGAGTCGATTTCTTATAAGGTAAAGTGTATTCAAAAGTAGTGCATTACTATTATTCCACTTAAAGCGCGGTGTCGATTCATATGATTATGGGTGTTAACTTACGGTGTAAGGTGAAGTGTACACGAGACGAATAATTGGATAGGTTGAGCTGTAGCAGTCGCAGTCAGATTAACATTACACTAAAATATACCACCAATTACTTTGTCAGGTCTCATTGGTAAGTCATGCCTGCATCTAGTCATTGTGACAAATATAGCTACACTCAGAATAAGAGAGGTCTGGTAAGCATGATGTTAAATATATTTAATGAAAAATAATAACAAGTAAATGTCTTTACTCAGTTGTTTGTCGTAATAACTTGGGCAATGTCGAGTCGCTGTGACAGGGGTGACTCACGTTACCGGATATCTGCAAATAAGTAAACAAAGTGTTTTTTTAAATCGCTGATGTAAGAAAGAAGTAATATTAAAGTTAAACTCTTTATATTTGCCTACCTTTGCTGAAAATGGTTCATTCTCCTTTCTCATTCTTCGTTCATGACAGCATTCTTCTGTGGCTTTTACTGTCACACATATTGTTCATCTTCTAAAGGATAGCAGCAAGCAAATAATAATAATTCCATGTGCCGCATAAACGAATGTTTACAAAGGATGCATGTCATTTCTACAGGCGCAATAAGTTATGTAATAAACTGCAATCTTGAAGTATCATAAGTTAGTACTTTTTGAAAAGTTTAAGTCATTCAACTATTGTACGAGCAATTAGAGCAGGTTATGATAAGAGTTAAATTGTAAACCCTTCACAATGAACACTGTGCATTTGGCTAAGTGCTATGTCCTTGGAATGTTAGTATACACTTGCAATGTCTAATGCCAACCATATCGGTGTAAGCATGGAAAATATGTTTTCCATGAAAATACAGCTTTGTTCAAACACTGGTGCTGATGTGTTTCTAATAAAAGCAACCAGACTGTAAGCAAGCAACTAATAGGCACAAAGAGTAAGTCTCAGCTTTAATAAAGGCATATTCAGTTAAGATCAAATTTAGTGTAATAGTGCATAAATAAAAAGACCATTGTGAAGTAGATAAGTGATATTTCAGTGACATGTAAATTGAAAGATCTGCAAGCTTACAATTCGTAAGACAACGTGACATGTAAGATCTTTCACGAATTACTGTAGGGCCTGTGGGGTACGATGGATGGTTTGGCACAGCTACTAATCGACAGAAAGCTGACACTCATTTTAAGTACTCTGACATTTGAGAAGGACTATTTATACTCTTCTTTGAGACGCGATGAACACTGATGTCAATATAGTCTGATGCGATTTTATGCACTGAGCAATTAAGGCCTTCTGAAATTCCATGTGCAAATGTAAATTAAACTATTATCACATCTTCGCCCAAGCACTTTTAACTAGGAACTTCATCAAAACAGATATAATCACCAGGAAATTCAGCAGCCTGTCTCATTCATTGCATGATGTCGTCGATGTGTTATGGAATATTTCAGCCATCACCGATGATAACTGAAGTGTTTAACATCCTCCAAACACACATCTAACCTATGTCTGCAGGCTATTTCTCTTTCATATGCCCGATTCTCATAGATTCACTGGAATGACAACAGCCATTCCCTGTAGTTTATTTACAACCTTAAGATCTGAAACAACTCGCAAAAAACAATCCCTCAACGCACTTTAATGCAAATAATAGTCTTTCTATGAGAACTTTCTTAGAAAGGATGACCTTTTTTTATTAATAATTCGTCCGAGCTATAATATACAATTTTGCCCTTTACTAGGAACAAAATACAACAAAATACCGACTTCTGGATACAGAAGTCTAAAACTAGTCAAATATAATCTATTTCCAATAAATAGGCGATTATAACGCCTGTAGCCGTGAGCGCGGTAACCCATAAAATTGAGCGGGAACTCCTGGTTACAGCCTATATCCTCACCCGTTAAGTGGTGGGTGCTGTAGGCTATTAACTTTGGGGAATTACTTGCCAAAACACATTCAAGAATGATCTTTCCCTAATTAATTCTCGCCTATAATTTACTTGGGTTAACTGTGAATAAAACTCACCCTTGATAAGATTTTGAAGTGTTTCGTGCCCATAGATAGAACAGTGACATCAAGCAGAAGACAAACTTGGAATTTACTTTCGATTGAAATCAGATAGGCATGAGTATTTCTGAGGTTGAAATAAGTTTCGTCCTTGTCTCTGTCTTCAAAGCCTGTCAGTGCTACAAGCCAGCGCATATAATCATGAGTTATACCTCGGAGCATAGGAGCTCTACAGTTTATTGCTTCATTGGTTATTCATCAGTATCAAAGTAAAAAATTCAAATAGCCAAGTTAATCAACCTTTCACCACGAATATGTAACTAAACTTGCTTTCTTTAACAAATTAAAAGAATTTCAGCTGCAGTAAAAGGACTGTGATTGGTTGTGTAAGCGACCTCCTGCCTAACACTATTATGCTCGTACAACTATAATAAGAATTCTATCATGCCTTATTTAACACGGGTTCTGTACCTAGAGTCAGATGCCAAAAAAGATTTTTAATCAGTAACTGAGCTGCGAAGTATAAAAAAGCTATTATATGTGATACTACCTACTTCATTTCGTCCCCGCCAACACTCTGTTTTTAGTGGTTTCATTATCAATAGTATTACTATTTTAAATTTTATAAACACATCTATAAAAGGCAGCTGTATTGTTGCAATATGTATAAGAATGCTGCAGACTCCATCCGTTATAGTTATTATCATTTGTAACAAAATGATTGCTATTATTTGTTTTTAGAATCTATATTGGGGCGCTACATTTGAAATTGTAAACTACATTTTGGAATAATGGTGTCTCTTTAGCCATTTATGTTTATTTGTTCCAACGTTATTTAATCTTACACACTTATGTCCCGTTAAACACTAAAAATGCAAATAAATGTCGAACCTGATGTATACGAACAGTTCCACAAACTGAAGCAACTCCACAAACCTATCGGTAGTGACAGCGAGTTCTTGTCTTTTATAATTAATCACGTACAAAAATGCTCGTACAAAGGTGAAAAGTAGGTTAAACTGTACTTTTTATTATCCCACTATTATAGTTGCAGCACAAATATACAACCTCTTCCAAATGGTGCTCTACGATCCTGTCCGGAATGTAAATTCTCTGCTGGTACTTCTGAACAACTCTGGGATCATTTTGAAACTGTTCATCCTGATGAAGGAAGTTTCTCGTGTACGTGTGGAGACTCTTACAGTCGATTGCCACTTTTTTTGAGGCATTATGTGGATTGCCCAGTAGCCTCCACTGACCTTGAGGACCCTCGTCGGAATTTCGCATCTCTCAAAGACGGTCGGAGGATTTTGCCAAGTGTTTTACATGCTAATAGCGGTGTTGGAGGAACTAAAGTAAATCAATCTGGTGTTTATCATCCATACCGTCAGCCTCCAGTATCGGCCGTTGCGGGTCCTTCGGGTGATAAACCGTATGGATGCCCAAAGTGCTATAAAGGTTTTAAGAGTAAATCTCTACTTGATCAACATATGCATCTGCATTTTCCTCCACGCTACAAATGTAGATGGTGTGGTAATGTTTATCGTTGGCCACCTGTCTATTATCATCACAAACAAAGATGTAAAAAACGACCACTCTTAAATCTTAGTGATATGAGCCACTCTAATGATTACCGTTGCGTCAATGGTTCGCTTATGAAAGTTGAAGATTCACAAATACACATGGATCAAATTTCATCTAGACAACAGGCATTCAATCGCTTTATGAATGCTCCAGGAGTATCCTTTACTCAAGAACTGGCAAATGAAAATCTCGTACAGAACGTACCAGTTATTGGAGAAGATGCGGCAAATTGTTCGTTAACCTGTTTATGCACAGAAAGCTTTCTAAATGTCCCTTCCTACCTCGAGCATGCTACCATATGTCCAAAAGTTGTTTCAGCATCATCTGTATTTGAGAACCTTGCAAGTAGAGCGTTATGTACTTCAGCTAACTTAGGTTTCAGATCACCGAGACAAAGGAATCAAATCTCTAACTTCCGAGAATTGCCACCAGAATATCTTTCTCAGTTAAAAGACACATCTCTGTTGCATCATGGTGTTGGTATCTTCACATGTAACATGTGTGGCAAAGAATTTAATTCAAAATTATCACTTAAACAACATGTGGATGGTAAACACCGCGCAGAAGGCAAATATCTTTGTGGGACATGTGGTAAGCGTTATCGTTGGGGTGCTTCATTTTATTACCACAAGAAAACTTGTACGGGTCCACTTACTTCGTGTGTAATCAGTTCTCAAGCGCCTGAACTTGTAACTACCCATACATAGTAAAAGTAACAGTGATACCTCATTTTATCTGGGAATTATGGCGTTTTATGTAAATTTATTCTCGAGGTGATATAATATAACATTGCAGTTAGCCGTTTGGTGATACTGGACTCTGCATTTTTGGATTGCAGGTAACGAAGTCATTTTTGAACTCTTAAATTCACTTGTTTATCAACCGTTTTAAACCATATATATATATATATATATATATATATATATATATATATATAATCTGTGACTTCTAGAAACTAATATTACCAAAGTTAATAAATTTGTAAACACTTCTTGTGACAAAATGATTTAATATTCCAGTAAATTTGTGTATAATTTAATTTTCCATTCACAAATCACTCAGCTGAATTACCTGGTGTACTGGTGCATTTATTGTTTCACTAGTATATCTTCATTTACTTACTTTTAATATGTAATTAGTTGTACATTTGTTTCAAAGATATTTTCTATGCGTTGAAAATGCTAATACCTCCCAACGCTTATTTATGCTTCATTTTTTTCCTGCTTTTTACTTATCTAGTCAAATGTTTGGCGTAATGTAACCAGGCTTGTAACACTCAGTTTATTACTTCAAAAATTTTTTATGAGGATCTGATTTAATTCAATGTGTTTCTTATATGTTGTCCTTTAAGACTCTCTCTAGGAAATGACACTCAATTGGAATATTTAAGCTTTAGTGTATTCGACGCAACATATATTTAAGAATATTATATGTATGTGTTAAGTTTCCAGATATAGAATCCCATTTTGGTTAGACTTGATTTATGCAGGATTGGCCGGGTAGTGATAGTGCATAGAAAAAGTCGTATTATATACTCTCATAAGTTTGTGGATGAAAACATTATATAATTTATTATTTTCGTCAAGACACCTTTCAATTCATTTTTATAGTTTTGTTATATTCACATGTTATCCTTTTGTACATGCTAGTTTGGTGCTTTGAACTGCGGGCTTAGGTTTCGATTTTCAGTGGGAAAATAATCAGTCAATAAAATGCACGTGGTGTAGTCCACTGCAAACCACCATCAAACAAGTGAAATCGCTGGAAAATATTTAGACACTAGAGTGTAATAAGTGTACAAAAATACTAGTGGTGAATAATAAATATAGACCCTAAAAGAAATGTTGTGGCCTGAAGATGGGGATGCATATGTGAGTTATGATTGGGCATAACAGGGCCAACAATTTCCAGTAAACATTAGTTCATGAGGTATAGATACTGTTCACTTGGGCAAGAATTATTAACTATTGTAGTCGTTTCCAAAAGTTTTGTAAGCAAGCAAATCTGTTTGAAAGTTCACTCGTTGATTAGTGCTATTTTGATATCCACTTCACCGTATACCTAACTTTTAGCAATCGCATTTATTTTCATATGTATGCTCGGTAAGGCAAACACGTTTGAATAAGGCTGACAATACGTACTTGCCTAGTAGTCGTAACTGGAACTTGGACTCGTGATTGTTCGCTCAGGAGCTGATTTATTTTAAACCGATGAGTAACAGTTTTATTAGGCATCTTTCACGTATTCACTGATGTATTTTGTTAGGTGATTTCATGTGGTGCTGCCAAAATAGCTTTTCCCAACTCCTCTAACTGTTAGATTTTAAATAACGATGGTTTCTGGTCAATTTTTTTGAATGTTTTCAAGTAGTTGGAAAATGATTTGTTAGTTGTCTCACATTTTCGATAAGCAACAAAAAGTTGCGATGTAAGGCAGTATTCTTACGGAGGATCCTTTATAACGTTTTTACCCTTGGGTCTTGTTATTTTGTGAAATATCATTTCGGATAAGATACAGGTATATACACTCTCGACATGAGCTCAGTTTACGTGGAGATGAATTAAGTGTGCGTCGGTAAGCTTGCTCAGGTTTGGTTATTGGCACCAACGTCATCCTGTCAGGGAAATAAGTATGTCATTGATTCATTTGTTTAATCACAGGCGAAGTTGGAGAGAAATATAAAACTAATATACTCTTCCCAGCGGTGAACCGGACTGGTAAGTCACCGAAGAGATTTACAAGAAAGTTTAGTGATTCACTTTGCCATGTATCTCGGTTATCGTTGTGTGATCTCAGTTGCGTTGAATGGATTCTCCATATACCAGGATATGGGCCGCATTTATTGTGTGTGAGCTGATGATACTAGATACCCGAACCTCTTGTCTAGTAGTTTGTCTCATGAGATGTAAGAGGAAAAGAAACTGAGAGGAGAGGAAATCCTACGAGTTTTGAACATGTCGTACCAATCAGTAGACGTCCATGAGTGGCTAGATCTGAAACCAGTAGGCGTTGGGGACGTGGAAGAAACTACGTCCATTCACCACCGACTTTCGGCGTCGCCAACTGCTTGAGTGGGTCGCGTAAGCTATGTTAATCTCCCAGCTGTTCTCAGGTAGGAATCAGAAGTGTATAAAGACCGAAGATGACGTAACTCCAGTTGTACCGATGCTTATGCTTCATATCTACACGTCTTTGTTTACCTCTAGATTTCATCACGCTATTATTACGCATTTATATACGTTTCTTAGCGTACACAGCGATGGTTTTTCTAATGCACCTTTTCTTAGTTTTACCTTTTCGATAAGAAACTAATATTACTACTGAGGAGTGTCACAGAGTTCCATTTGACACTTGCGGAATATCTAACACTATATGTCTATTCGAAAAGTTTTGGAAACAATTTCCGTAAGACTTACTTCAGTAGTTTGGGAATCACATATTGTTGGTTAGTTGGAAATATTTGATAGATAACAATAGAATGGTATGCAGTATGTAGTTACAGCTCTTCCTGGTATTAGATGGCATTTATCAGATTGAAACACGATCACAACTCATTGTTTGATCTTTTCATGAGGTGCAATATATATATTTACTTCAAGACTTCAAAAGGTGCTTCCATCAACGTATGGTTTAAGTAAGGTTATCATCTACATGTAAGATATGTAGCTCACTGATGTCGATCCGTGCTCAAACTTTGAACAAATTAAATCCCTTCAAACTAACTCCTGAAAGAGTCAATAATCCCTTACAATTATCATTAAGTACTTCTGTGGTTAAGCCATAAAATTATGCTACACTTTATCTCCTTTCATCTTAAAAACAACCATTTCGGTAGAAGCCAGATCTATAGAATCAGTATTCATATCTCACAGCTTATGGCAGCTGTAGGTTTAGTGGACCTTTTCTGGAAGTGTGTTCAGTTTAACTTCACACCATATTATGATTCATAGGCTCTTGGCTCGAGTTCTACTCCACTTACTTCAGCCTGAACAATTAGGTAACCTCAGAAAATAAGTGTGATGTTCGTATCCTGATATATATGGAAAGTCTGTTTCAAAACATTGGGTTGAAACATAGATGTATTGTGAAGTTTGTAAATTCCTATCTTTCTCAAAGATCGTCCCACCATTCATCATAGCTTATTTAGGGCCTATCTTTTTAATAAAGTTAAGTAGTCAGATGTTATCTATGTTTAATATTTATTCTATTTTTCCTGCTTTCGTCAATTACACCTGCTTATACTTTCTACAAAAAATTTGCTCAATTATTTATCTAATAGGTTTGAACTTTCAGCACAATTACCAGGTATGAATCGATTGAATGCATATGCCACTTTAATTATTTATAGGAGCTGCGCCAGTAGCTGTAAATTATCCACTGACGAAATTTCAACAAGTACTTTGATGAAAAACACACTTATCTCCTCATAAATACAGAGAACAGAGATTTATCCAGTGATGAAATATCTTGTCAAGATACCAAGAAAATTAACAATGGATTCGTTTTATCCTGCACGTTGTGTTGTTACTGATTTTGTCCAAAGACTAATTAATACTAGTTGCCCAACTGCTTATGCAAGTACGCCTATTTCTGAACAATAGTTTTCTGATGTTTAACTGTAAAATTATTATTATTTAAGACAGAAACTACGAAAAAGCCTAAGCTTTCTAGCCATAAGTATCTTCTTTAATTCAATTTGAACTGTCTCGTTGATTGACTGGACCGAGGTGTTTGACCTCAGATTGACATATCGACTCCTTGTGTGGAGTATTTGGCGATGTCTGATGATTTATCTTGAAGTAATTTGGTGGATGGTGACTATCAATGGAATCCAGTATGTTTCGTCCATTTGCTCGCTTAAAACAAAGCAGTACTATGAGTAATAATGAGAGGTTAGGCGTAAACTGTTATGTGAGTTTATTAATGAAATTGTGAATTCTCGATTGAAGTGGTCTGTCTGCATGCTACGCATACTGAGACACCACCTTCTTAAGAGAACACTCTTAGCTTGCATAGAATTTGGTTTTAAAAGAAATTGGGGGTGATCAAATTGAAACTTAACATGAATCCATGAAGTGTATAAATGTCACCTTGAGCTATGTAAGCAGTTGACTTGCGCGATCCTCTGCAGATTAACAAAAAAGTGAAGAATCTTAAATGATTAGCTTGAACCCTACGTGCTAATTTTTTCTACATTGCCAGTACTGTTCCATTTTTGTTCTTTTGTTCTTTTTAGAAATGTTTTGAAACGTGACAACCTAAACCAATAAACTTATGTTCAGGAATCTGTTGCTATTTATCTCTGTCTCACTATGTATTCGGTTACTCAGTGTTACATCTTTTAGTTTATGAACGTTATCAAACTTTTTTTCTATCCTAAAATTCATTGTGATCGTTTTGGAAAACACTAAACATTTCGAAATAGTGCTCGACACCAACTAAGACGTTTCCATAAGAGATGTGAGTACTATGTTTACTGGATAGAATTGGTAAACCAACAAATTATTATTATCATTCGTCTAGTGGGTTTCCAATAGGACATTGGGCTTCAGCAGCATATCGTCAGAGTCCCTTGTTAGTTATCCTTTCACGCTGGCGATTTGGTCTTCACTAGTGAACCAAAGAAGGTAGCTAGGCGTTGATGCGTAAGTCTGAAGCAGCAGCAGCAGCCTGTTGGAGATGCTTTTTGTGACGAACTTGGCGTCTCTAAAGCATGTAGAAGCATTGACTGACTTGACATTTGTGTTGAATATTCGGATCTTCTTTGTTATTGATGAGTGTTATGGATCTCCGTACTGATTTCAGAGTAATGTGTACCTGTCTTGCTCTACAAATTCTACCTTTGACATCCACATCCGTGCCGCCTGTAGTTGAAACGATACTTTTGAGGCAAGTGACCGGAATGATTTCCTTTAGGTTTCTCTCATTCATGGAGACTAGTGCTTGTTTTCGTCGGCTGGATATCTTTATCTCTCCTATGGTCACTCAAAGTCTTGTCTTCTCTATCTCTTATCCAACTTGTTGGTTTTTGTGTGTAGATCTGCCAGTTTAACGGACATTAGACACAAATCGTCCGCAAAGTCCAGAATATCTACTGGAGTTTTCTTGTTGGCCTTAAGTATTCTTGTTTTCTCGCTCTCCACAGTCTGGTGCACAATCTTGTCTGTCACAATGGGGAAAATAATCTGTCCTCATCTCAGAATAAATCTTCGATGAGCTTTCCGTTGTGAATCACTTGACATGTAATATAGCTGCTGAATGAGGTTGATAAAGGTTTGAATCACTCCGTAGTGTTGAGGAAGTTTCTAAGCCACTTAGCGGTCAACGCTGTCTGGTGAAGGCCTTTACAAAGTCGATGAAGTTGTGTTAGAGATATGACTGCCATTCCATGCTCTATTTGATGATAATGTGTAGCGTTGCAGTTTGATCCTCTCATGATTTCTTTCTGCTGAATCCAGCCTCATCTGGGAGG